CTCAAGAAATGAATCATTTGCTTATTATGATGTAAAACTTGTATGAAAAGCATTTCACTGAAACCTAAAGGATAAATTGAGTGCTGTGATAAAAATAACGCAAGTTTGTATTTGACAAGTAAAAGTACGTTAAAAGTACGTCTGATGAATTAATCTTTTCGCTGCAAAAGCAAAAAAATCAAAAAATAGTAGAAACTGGAATTAAGTAAGTAATGAATCACATAATTACAGCGTTTCACATCACAGCCAAACGCATTTTCAGACAATTTTTTTTTTGGGAAACATTCAAGAAGAATTTTATTTTTGCCATTAGAAAAGCAAAGTAATGACAGAAAATTTTGAATTCTGACGGAAAAAATAATTCACAAATTCTTGTTAGCAAATTATTTTTAACTCTGTTGCAATAAATTTACGTCATTGACATACGTTTGTTTGTCGCAGTGCAAACGTTTTTTATACAAGCTGCTATTTATATTCAAGTAATTTCTGTCTTCATGCGTTAAACAAGATGAAATCAAGAAACTTTGCTCATACTTTATTAGCACGTAATAAGAGACATAAAATGAATATGAGCAAGATTATGGCAACGTGTCAAAAATGCAACAATAAACAAACAAGCAATGCTTGAGAATTTTAGGTCAGATGGAAAGAAGTGACGCAGAACCGGTCCAATTCAACATAGTTCAAAGGTGAAAGGAAGGGGGAGGAGGATAGGAGAAAAGAGGAGATCAGAGGAATGCGGTTGGGCTTATTTCTATAATTTGAGTTAAGGTTGAGGTTAAGGTTGAGGGATGATGTGCACAATCACGTTGTCTTGGTGTATTCCTCGACCTAACTACGGATTTCAAAAAAAAAGATGATTTACACCCTCACTTCTTCAGCATTCATTTTACTCTGCAAGAAATTTCTGCACGTCATAAACGATAAGAATTCACTGAGCTGATCAACTATATATTAAATCCCATCGATTTGAACCAAACGTTTGCAACAATCGACTTGTGACATTATTTGCATATTGTTGTAT